TGTCACAGCCATTCACACGGTTTTTGGTTTGAATAGTCAAAAAAGTTGGCAAAGACAATTTGGTGATTTTGGTGAAAATTTTTCTGGCAAATGAGTTGCAACGGTTCACTTTTTTCAAACGTTAACGGTAGGAAAAATAATTTAAATCCTCTCCAGACAGGCCCTGAATCTACTAGAATGTTAAATTTGGTATGTATAATTAAATATGTTGTATTCATAGTTGTTGAATCTGCTAGTGCATATCCGATAAGTGCATATCCTGTTAACGGTAAATACGGCGCAAGTCTTCCACTTATGGAAGAATTTCAATTCAGTAAAGCGTGCCCACGCCTTAAGTAAAATTGGCAGAATTTCAATTCAATATAGCGTGCCCACGCTTTAAGTAAAATTCACTAATATGGTATCTATTCTGCATATCTAGTACTCAATTAGTAAATTCGATATTCAGTTTCATGAAACTTGTCCAAAATTATCCAAGAGGCTTTACCTATGCCATCTTAGGCTAATAAAAGTTTGAAGTTTTACCTTGTCCGTTTAATCACATTTTACACTTTTTAGAACGTTGTTTATATATTATATTGAATGAAGGGATGTACAAAAAGTATTGTTCTCTATCTCGTGTTTCTCTACAAAATCCTCCATCTCCATCCTTGGTAAAAGATTAAGAAGAAAAACTATTGTTGAGCCGTAAAATTTTTAAAACCTATACTTAATGAGTTATTTTTTAATTTGAAGTTTTTGTTTTGTAAAATTCACCAAACGTGAACTCGCCTTTTATTCGTCTTTATCTGATTTGTTAAAGTAAATTGAACGGAAAAATAAAAGGGAATTATATCATGTTTATTTTATTATTGATATTCAAAACCCAACAAATTAAGCACGTTTGGCCCCAATTATTTAAAATTTTAATGATTGAAATAAATTTTTTTTTTTTTGAAAAATGTGTGATTAAAAAAAAAAGTTTTGAGATTACGTATAATATTATTTTATTGAAAAATGTGTAGTCGAAAATGAAAAACACAAGTTCGACCCTAACAACACCTAGAGGGGGTGAATATGTGTAATATGCGGATTTAAAATCTTATTAACTAATTAG